AGTTTCATCTCCTACTCTCATGGAACAGATCCTCTTCTGTTAAAAAAAAATAAAAGTCCTTTGCATAGGTGAGTAGAGGGACTTCTCATGCACGAGCTTACTGCATACTATAGTGAGAGGCAGCACAGAGCCTTACGTAGCTTAGATCACAGACACCTAGATTGAATCCCAGTTCACCACTTACTCTGACTTTGGGCAAGTTATATCATCTCCCTTGCTCCAGGTTCCTCTTCTGCAACAGGGTTTGTGGTGAGGATGAATGAGTTCATGAATAAAGTCCTTAGAACCATGCCTGCGATTACCAGGCCCTGGTATAAACTTTGTCAACCTTACTCTCACCATTGAGATAAGTCATATTCTTGTCTCCACTTTACCAATGGGAATGCAGAAGGTCAGGAAGTTCAGACAGAGAGCTGGGATTGAAACCCAGGCTTCTCTGACCATGAAGCCAGGTCCACTCTGCCACCCACATCCCACCATATCCCTCACAGACATAGTGGAAATACTTCTCTTCTCTTCATTAGTTGTGGGAGATGTGGGGTGAGGGGAAGTCTATTTTCATCACTGCAGCTCATCCTTGAGCAAGAAAGATGATCGTGTCCTCTGCCCATGGTCAGACCAGAGCTAGCTGGTGAGAAGCAGGCATTGTGCAATGTGAGCAGCTGCTTCGGCAGATGTGTCCACAGCTAAATGTAACACAAGTTTCATTTCCAGAGTCAAGAAAGAATACTTATCCCAACATATCCCCCATGACCTTACCAGAGGTGGATGGGACATGAGCAATGGGGAGGGTTTGCTCCTACAAACAGCCCTTAACTTCTCTGTTCTAATAATCGCTGAAGGTACAACTCTGTCAGCTCCCCAGACAGCCATTGGCTCTGATGACAAGGGTCCCTGGCCTCCTTGAGTTTACTGAACATTTGAACACTGCCTGCAGAATAGTCACTGATGAAAGAGAAAATATTAAGAGAAAGGGAAAGCCAGTGACCTTGAGATGGAAGGTCCAGAAGGAACTTTCATCCAATCAAAGCGGGGAAAAGGCTGGGTAGCTGGACAGGCCTGAACTTCAAGCTGTCCAGAGTTGTTGTTGGACTGAGCAGCCATTCACCCTCTCTGACTTCAGTGGAAGAACATTTCTACCGTGCACGTTTGTTGTAAAATTCTGAGACCGTTATTATGGAGGTGTCAGGAACCACCATTAGCCAAGGACAATCAAAGACTAGGATGGAAAAGAAACCCCACTGAATAGGAGAACATATTTGCCAATGATACTGCTGATAAGGGGTTAATATCAAAAATTTGTAAAGAACTTATACGACTCAATACCCAAAAACCAAACAATCCAATTTAAAAATGGGCAAAGTATCTGAAGAGACACTTCTCCAAAGAGGACATTCAGATGGACCAGTAGACATATGAAAAGATGCTTAATGTTACTAATCATCAGAGAAATGAAAATTAAAACCACAGTGAGATATCATCTCACACCTGTTGGAATGGCTATCATCAATAAATAAAATGAAAAACAAGTTTTGAAAAGGATTTGGGCCCTGGCTGGTTTGGCTCAATGGATAGAGCATCGGCCTGCAGAATGAAGGGTCCCAGGTTCGATTCCGGTCAAGGGCACATGCTCAGGTTGTGGGTTTGATCCCCTGTAGGAGGTGTGCAGGAGGCAGCCAATCAATGATTCTCTCTCATCATTGATGTTTCTATCTCTCTCTCCCTCTCTCTTTCTCTCTGAAATCAATAAAAAATAAAAAAATAAAAAAAGATGACTTCTTAAAAAAAACGGACTGGGAAAAAAGGGAACCTTTGTACACTGTTGGTGGGAATGCAGATTGGTACAGCCACTGTGGAAAACAGTATGGAGTTACCTCAAAAAATTAAAAGTGGAACTTCCTTATGACCCAGCAATTCCACTTTTGGGAATATAGCTAAAGAAAACCAAACACTAATTCAAAAGAATATATGCAGACCTACGTTCATTGCAGCATTATTTACAATAGCCAAGATTTGAAAGCAGCCCAAGTGCCCATCAGTAGATGAGTAGATAAAAATAAAAACAAAACTGTGGTACATCTACACAATGAAATACTACTCAGTTGTAAAAGGGAAGGAAATCTGACCTTTTGAGACAGCATGGAGGGACCTGGTGAGTATTATGCTAAGTGGAATAAGCCAGTCAGAGAAAGACAAATACCATATTCATGTGAATCTAATGAACAAACTAAGCTAACAAACAAAATAGGAACAGACTCACAGATACAGAGAACAGACTGATAACTGTCAGAGGGGAGGGGAGAGGGGGCTGGATAAAGAAGGTGAAGGGATTGAGTACAAACTGGTAGTTACAGGAGAGTCGCAGAGATGCAGGCTGCAGCATAGGGAATGTAGTGAGCAATGGCTGGATTGTAAAGGCTACATAGGGGCCAGGTGGGTGCTTCAAGGATGGGGAGGACCACTCAGTGGAGTACATGATTGCCTAACCACTATGCTGTGCGTCTGCAACTAATGCAGAATGGTATTGAATGTAGACTATAATTGAAATTATTTTAAAAAAGAACTATATGTCTGGGTAAGAGATACACTCAATTTTTATACCCTGCTTTCCTCAGTCAACATCAACAACATCTCTCCATGCTAGTACTTTCTCTTCCATAACATCTCGTGGCGTGGCTGAGATATAATTCAGTCACACACAGGACATTAGAGAAAGACAAAGGCAAAATAAAACACCCTGTCATACTAATTGTCACACCCCCTCTCCGGGCGAGTCCTCTGATGGTGTGTAGCTAGCATCTTCCAAGACTAGATAGGCCCGGGGGGCACCAACACCCTGAGACATGCCCGCCACTCAGCCCGAGCCCATCCTCGGGCCAGCTCCTGCACGGCGCAGGCAGCTTTGGCCAGTGTTAGAGCCGTGGCCTGGGAACCCACCGAGAGGAGGAGCCTGCGGGAGGCAATGAAATCATGTTCTAAACTTCGGAGGGTTTTTAAGAAGCAGCCAGGCGGGGTGGTGGCTGCGAGATGGGCTGGTCAGGAAATGCCAGTTTAAAGTTAGCTCTGACCTATTAATCAGCAGCGGGGACAATGATGCAGGAGGGGCGGGAAGGCCGGACATGTGCTCGCGCCAGATTTATGGGCCCAGAACAAAGGGCAGCCGGCTCGTTTAGAGAGTCTCTTTCCCTTTTCCTCTGGTGAAACGAGGACATTGTTTTAAAAGCCAAAAAGAACAAATATTGTAAAGACTGAGGTCATTTCCAGAGATGCAACGGGTCCTGACGGGGACCCACACATGCTAGGTGAGGAGGACTATACAGAAGAGCCCAGGGCGGCGTGGTGGGGTGCACGCCATGCAGCAGGGACACTGGGGAGGAGGTGAGCCCTGCCTGGGCCACTCTGCAGGCATCTGGCAATTGGCAAGCCCACCTGGAGCCCCTCAAGATAAACCCAGAGCCTCTGGGGGGCCTTCCATTCAGGCTGCAAACAATGCTCTGTGAGCCCTTCTAGGAAGGTCTTCCCGAGGGTGGGCTGCCCAGCGCGCTGTTCATCTCAGCTTCCCTCACGTCCAGCAGAGTCTCTCATCTCAGTCCCTGCCTCGCTTCCTCAGACTAGAGGAGAAGCGGGACACGAGAGGAGTAGCAAGGGCAGAGGAGAGCATGCCATTGGAGAGAGGACATGGTGGCTCTGGTGCCCCCACTCGTTCAGGGTCTGGGGATCGAGCAGCTGGCTTTGCAGCCTCTCCTTCTCCTTGGCCACCACCGTCAGTCAGCTGCTGGCTGCCTCTTCCCCAGAGCCTGCTCTCCTCCCATCTGACCTCCACCCAGCCACCGGGTTGCACTTTCTAAACTATGTAACTGACCATCTCATTCCTGGCTAGAAAGCACCGGGTGGTTCTGCCTTTTCTTCAGAAAAGAGGTTGAGAAACCTCCGCCTGGTAGAATCCTGCACATTATGGGCCCACCTTCCTTTCCGGTTCATCTCCCATCTCTCTTCCATCCCCACATGTCCGTTAGCCTCATAGAATTCTTTTCTGTTCCCCGAACATGACAAGTCCCTCCTGGAAAAATTCTAGGCATCCTTTCGCCTAAGCTCCAGGGCTACCACCTCCATGAAGGTAATCTCCCTCATGTGGAGACCATACACCATGTGCCGGCTGGATTAATCACTTCTTTGTTAGGGGTCCCGTGTTGTGTCCATACTGCCAATAATAATAATAAAATAGCATAGCACTTATTATAGCAACTACACTACTTAATTGCAGGTCACTTGAAAGCGTAAACTCCATTGAATGAATGGATGAATGAATGAATGAATGAATGATGACCTACTAGATAGGAGTACCCTCAGGGTATATGGGGGCTCATGCAAATATTTTTGTGAGTCCTCTACATATATAAACAATCTGAGTCACCAAAAGCAGTGTTTCAGCACCTTCTGACAGCCCAATTTCATGTGATCGATCCTGCAAAATAAATACTCTCCAGCCAGCAGAAAAGATCCTTTCACCAGGCAGCCCTCCTGGCACTGGGGCTTGGTCATGGGTCCCTTGGACAACCTTTTAGGTGCCAGGCTTGGGGCTCCTCTAGGGCATCTGGTTGACCCCATGCACTAGGTAGGGGGTGAGAGAGCACGCCACAGGGGAGACATGGAGTCCAAAGCCAAAGTGGGTCCAAGTTGGGCCCAGAGTACCCTGTCTGGATGACATTGCTGGCTCTGGTGAGTCCTGATCCCTAGAGGGGCTTAGAAAATGTTGGGGATAGCATTCCAAAGTTCAGCGGCCCCTGAGGCCCAGAACCCAGGCAGGCTCCCTACTTGCCCATGTAGCACTGCTCCTAGATAACCATGTAACTATACACTTTGTCATTCAATAAACATTGACTGCGCACCTACTATGCACCAGGCACTTCGTCAGAAACTGAAGTTCTATATCCATTCGTAATAATGAGTTAGCAAGTTATGCCTGCCAAGGAGCGAACTTAATCATAACACAGCGAGACCTGTAGAGCGTGGGAGCAGAGGTATCATTCCGCCGATCAGGAAACTGAGCCGCAGAGGGGCTGTCATATATTCCATGAAGGTCCAACCACGTGCTCTACTCCTGGGTGTGGTTACGGTGCAGCAGGAGTTCCTGAAAGAAAGCAAAGGGTAATCCGGTGATCTCACTTCCCAAAATAAACCAAAACGTGAGGAGAGAGAGAGAGAGAGAGAGAGAGAGAGAGAGAGAACTTAGAGCCTATTCTGAGGGTCAACAGATGATGGAAACAATGATGAAAATACATGTAAATGGCTCCATACTGTGTCTTCAGACATTGCCATTGTTAGGCTGGCTGGGAAAGCCTCTCCCAGCAGAGCAGTGGGAGTGCTGTGACCTGAGGGCCAGGGGAGGGCCCCAGCTTCTCCTCCCCTCCCTGGGCCTCCCTTCCTCATCTGTACACCAGGGAGCAGGACCCTCTATGCTCTTGCAAGATTCAAGTAAGAGAAAAGGTCAGAACAACCTGTGTGCAGGTAAAGCACCACCCCTGAGTTGCTCATTATTAATAGAGGCAGAAGGGTTATTCTGTGGCTTTCTCACCGCACCAAACAAAAATCCACAAAAGGAGGGGATTTCTACAACATAGGGGCTCTTATGTAAAGTGAGACAATCCAGGGCAGAAACAGTCCTCTCCTGAGACTAACCCTCCGTGCTGTCTTCTCAGGTTTGTACCTGTGCTCACTGTACACACACACATACACGCGTGCACACTCACACACACTCCATGGCCTGATCCTTGAACATCCCTTCTTCCAAGCTCTCCACCTAGGGAAATTTTGTCCCGCAGGGAACATTGGCCAAGGTCACACCTTACATGGGGAGAGGGTGGCCTGTCCTGGCACCTCATGGGTAGAGGCTAGGATGTCACTAAACATCCTCCAGTCCTCAGGACAGCCCCACAACAGAGAATTATCCGGCCAAAAATGTCAATCGTGCCGAGGTTAAGAAACTCCACTCTAAGCCTTTGTTTCTATCGTTCCTTCCATTATAAGTTGCTTCCCTCTTCTCTGTTTACTTGAATACCACTCCTCCAGAGAGAGGAAAGACCTCATCTTTCTCTGGAGGTTTTAAACCAAGATAACTTTTTTTTTGTAATTTGACCAGAACTCGTAGAATTGTAAACACCCAGACCCTTGGAACAAAGTCCTATGCACAAGGATGTTTACTGCAGCCGTGTTTGTGATAAGGGAAGTCTAAACACAACCTAACTGTTCTCTTCAGGAGGGATCAGAGCTTTAAATTATAAAGCTTTGAAACAAAGCCATTATCTGCAGCCCTTACGTGCAACAAGGTCATTTCCAAAGGGGCTGACAGGGGAAGGGCACTGAGATACCTAGTTAAGTAAAAGAAGTAAGGTAGTAATGTTCAGGACAGCCTTGTTCATAGGTCCTATTCGGTAAATAAGTAAAAGGAGTATTTGTAAACATATGGATGTATATCTATAAAAGTTGGTGTAAGAAAGTGTTAACATTGGTTGCCTTTGGGGAAGAAGACTTGATCAGGGCCATTAGAAGATGACTTGTCACTTTACCATCCATCAGACTGGATATTTGTAACCATATGCAAACATTTCTTTTTATTTAGAAAAAATAGTTCATTAAAAATTGTAAGTGGTGAATCTTGGCGAAGGACATACATGAATTCATTGCACTATTCTCGCTACTTTTGGTTTGAAATTTTTTCAAAATAAAAACTTCATAGAAGGCTTCTAGAAAAAAAAACCAAATAGAATATCTTCCTCACCTTGGAGTAGCTAAAAACTTCTTAAATAGTTCACAAAGAACAAAGCTTAAAAGAAAATGTTGGCATACTATTTTTCATTAAAATTAAGAACTTATTTTATCAGACGAGACCATGAAGAGTAAAAGGGCAAGTCTCAGATGAGGAAAGAGATTTACAGTAGATCTACCCAACAAGGGACTTGTATCCATAACATAAAGAACTCCCCAACTGTAGTCAATAATACTGTAACAACTAGGCACGGTGCCAGGTGGGCATTAGACATCAAGGGGATCACTTCTTAAATTATATAAATGTCTAACCAGTATGAGGTACCCCTGAAACAAATGTAATACTGAATGCCAACTGTAGCTGGGGGAAATGTTTTTAAGTAAACAAATTTTAAAAAAATAAAGAACTCCCCCAAATTAATAAAAGATAATCAACATTTTTTTAAATGAGCAAACGATTTGAACAGGCATGTCACACAAAAAAAGATATTCAAATGGCTAATAACTGCATGAAAAGAGGTTCAAAATCATTAACCATTAGGAAAATGTAAAATCAAACCACAATGAAATAGCACCTCTCCCCCACCAGAATTGCTAAAATTAAAAAGACTGACATCAGCTAAGGATGTGAGTAACTGCATTTCTCATACATCACTGATATGAGCATAAAGTGGTACTGCCATTCTGAAAGTTCGTTGGCAGCATCTATGAAAGCTAAACATTCCAGCCTTACCTCTGCAAACCCTCCCCCACCTACACAGATTTTTCTTTTCATAATCTCTCGGATCTATACCATGTTTTCTACCCTTTAAATTCTGCCCAAAGAAAGTTCTCAGACTATCTTTGGTTCCATCTAACTAAAATTTGCTGAGCATCTACTCAGTGCGGCTCTTGGGAATCTTATCATTGGGAATAAGGAAATGACCTATTTTTAGAACCTATTTTATACCCTTGTAGGAGCTCATAGACTAGATGTGGTGAGCTGAGCAGCAGACACAGTAGAAGACAGATACCACTTTTGACTAAACTTCCAACTTAATTCCAACTTTAGATCCTTGTGTCATATTTCTTTCATGTTATCAGTACCTGAATTCACAATGACCCCAAGCAGGAACTGAGAGAGAAAGCAAGAGCCTGCTGAACTGATCCAGTTGACATGTATTCACAGACAGCAAGGAAGATTTGGACTAGGTTAAAAAAAATAGACATCTTCAATATGAAGGCTTTAAGATATTCAAAACCTAGCCCCACACAGGCCAATTTTACATCCATTAGCTCATCCCATTCTCAGAATAATCCTGTGAAGCAGGTATTATTATCACCATTTGGCAAATGAGAAAATTGAGGTTGAGATAGATTATGTTATTTGCCAAGGTCATGTAGCCACGAGCTGGCAGGGCTGAAAGCCAAACACCTGCTCCCTTGATTTAAATTCTGGTTCTTTCCTCTACATCACATCAGAAGCATCCCTGTACAACTCTAGAGATGTGGAGATCTAAATTTCTCTCTGGCTTTTCCTTTCCCTGAAACATTTATTCAGCCCTGCCTCCTCATGGCCAACTCCTCCTCCTTCTTTAAATCTCTAATTTCAGTCTTTCCAGAAGGCCTTTCCTGATTCTCCAGACCAGCTTTGATGCCAAGGCCATGAGCAACCAAAGCACCCAGTACTTCAGCCATTTCACTACCCTATGTTATCTTAATAGTTTCAAGTTGCTAAATTCCCAGTGGCTTGCACATGATAGGAGTTCATGATATATTGTCGAATGAATGAATGAATGAGTAGATGGATGGTGAGAGCATTCTTCCAAGTCTACATTGAACCCTAACGATTCCCCACCAATCCTGTCTAACAAAAAACAATACCTGAAGAGCAAAAAAAGAAGACCAACATGGTCAAACAGATCAGGAAGTGCAGATCCTCATTACTGTTCTGAGACTTATCTGGTGGGATAACCCCTCCCCTCTCTGTAACTCAGTTTTGCCAATTGTACAATAGCGGCATCATAGCAGATTGCTTCTCTAACTCTGCCTTGCACCACTTGGCTCTGGTGCTCTCCAGGCCCATGCTTGACCTGTGCTAGGAAGTCAGCTCTGCCTAAACCCATCTTCATTCCCAGCTGTGGGAGACGAGCTACTATGAGCTTCATATGGTTTCATGGAAATTTCTGTGGCTGTGAGGTGATGCATGGTGATGAAAGTAAAACTCATGAAGGACCACCACATGGCCCCTACGTTCTCCTGGTATGCTTTCTAATAATAATCAGTAGGTCAGAACTGTGTTAACTCAGTGCTGCCAACCCAGCCACACCAACTTTTGTCCAGTTGCTCTTGGAAAGCCCACGGTTTTAGATGGTATTACAGTTTTGAGAAAAGTTCCCTGGGCAAACCGAGTCGAATTAAATTATTGTCACCCCATTAAAAAATCTGCCTTGTAAATAATTAAGCCATCTGGCCTCACCCTGCACAGCATCACCGTCAGGTGGTCATGCAATTCATGCTTGATAGTCCCTAATTATGGGACATCTCACTACCTACGAGGCAGCGCATTCCACATTGACAGTTCTAATTGGAAGAAAGTTGTTTATTATGCTTAGCTGAAGTCTGCCACGCTGCAACTTTTCTCCCATTGGACTGGTTCTGTCTTTTTCATAAACTGAGTCAGTGTCTAATCCTCTTCCATATGACAACCATTAAAGATCCTGAAGGATGGGAAAAATGAATAGAATTGGCTACATAAAAATTGAAAACTGTAGTAAAGAAAATGATCAACCAAAACAAACAAACAAACCACCATAAAGAAGATTAATTGGCATACTGGAGGGGGGAAATGTGTGCATGTGATATGTATGAGAGACATACTGTTATTACACCTACAAAGAACTCATAAAAATTTGTTCAAAAGCAAAATGGGCAAAGGATATTGACTGGCAATTTATAAATTAAGAAATGCAATGGTGCCCAGCTGGTGTGGCTCAGTGGTTGAACGTCAACCTATGAACCAGGAAGTCATGGTTCAATTCCCAGGTTGCAGGCTTGATCCCAGTGTGGGGTGTGAAGGAGGCAGCCGATCAATGATTCTCTCTTATCACTGATGTTTTTATCTCTCTCTCTCCCTTTCTCTTTCTCTCTGAAATCAATAAAAATATATGTTAAAAAAAGAAGTGCAATGGCACTAAATGTATTAAAAAATTCAAATGAGCCAAAGTAACCTAAGAAACATAAAACCAAGATAATTGTAGAGTATAGATTGGTTCAATCTTTCTGGAGGACAGCATAATAATTTCTAATTTTTAATTGTGCAAACAGTCTGATCCAGAAGTTTTACTTCTAGGAATTTACCCTAAGAAGATAATTAACAAAATAACA